TTACAGCGGGACCGGCCTGCGCCGCTGTGCAAAAATGCTCCCATTAGACCCAATGTACTTACAAACCGCTACAAAGTTGCGGTTCCTCGGCCGCCGCTCAGGACTTGCAGGCGGTGACTATAAAGTGGGCCACCCTTAGAATAAACGCACCCATTTCAGTCAGTGTACTTAACTTAAAGAATATTAGTGGCTGCCACTGAGCGCTGACCACTGGTGCATAAAGGGGGCCTAACAAACATACTCTTGAGTGTTTATGAACCTGTGGTAATGTAGGTACTATACTACTATACTACCTACAGTATACCACTAGTGGTACGCTGAGGCCAATGTGGTGGTACACGCTGTCATTTTAAATGTGAGTATTATATGTCAGGATTGTTTGGGCTGGCTCGTCAGCATTAATGAACAGCCCATTGGCAACTATGTACATTCAACAAGACGTTACTAGAGAACGAGGTCGAAATTATTTGGTTAAACTCACTCATGCTTCTTAACTAAAATGACTTGAAATAATAGCTCAAGTAATATGAGCAATATTAAAACTCCTGAATGTGTTCAATACATCACTCAGGTAGCCTATTCAACTAGTATGAAAGTTCATTTTCTTTGGAGAGGTTCATACATATGGTTAAAATCGGCTAGTGAGGTTAGCAAAATTATTACCATAGGCCTATTTCATTCGCTTTTAAGTACCTCCACATGACTAAGTGTTTGCTAAATATTTTTGTCTTGTAAAGTGGTACGCTAGGACAAAAGGTTAAGAGGCTCCGCTATAAAAGAGTCCGTCACTCTGTCGCTGGTACTTATACGATGGCAGCTGGCAGCGGCGGATCTATGTGGTATTGATAGTTGATGTATGTGATGCACTTGGAGAGAGCCCCCTAATACTACATGTGCACATTGTTGGTAAAATATTTTGGCTATGCCCGTCTATGAGGCTTTGTGCTAGTAGTGTACTGTGTTTTATACTGACTGATAGCTGTCCTTTTTACGGTAGCTCTTATGTAGGCTACTAAGCTAATTTACTAGCTGCTATCGTTAGCTTGTAATAAAAGCTAGGCACACTTGCGCTCAATGTCAGCAGTAATCAGTGAACAATATTCTTTTAAGTTATTAGTTGTTCATCAAAAGTTCAATTCAAATGGATACAGACAATAGGGAGTCTACTTTATTCTCTCAATAATGCCGCCTACATTGTGGTGAAACTTTCTGTGGGGCTTAAGGGTATTTTAATCAAAATGCTGAATTCTTCAATTGTTTAAATTAATAAAATTATACAACTTTCATACAAAATTAATAAGAGGTAACATTTTAAGAGGTTGAAGCAGTTCACAAATAGTTAAAATATTATTCTTGGAAAAATATAACTATAACTACGAAAATATAACTTTTATAATAACATCAATGTACATTGTATGTTTATTAATATATTCTTATCGATACCTTATGTAAACTTGCATTTAGTGAAATAGGGTGGAAACAGTTTGATGGTACTACAATTTTAGACCTTCTGCAAATGCAGGGATACTTAAATACAATCTTTAGACGAGGTTGCCTATTTTTCAACATTTTCATTTGTTGAGTTGAGGGATCATCTTTGATATCTCCTTGCCCTTCTTTGAAGTGTTTATGCCACTGAAAAACACATTATGACATTCATTGATCCCAATACTTATGTTGTAAGTTGTAAGAGAGAATAAGTCTCTGTTACAAATTTGCCAAGCGTCTCAAAGAATTTCACATTAACACGTTTGCTCGATTATAACACCTATAGTTTTTGCGACAGACGACAACTACTTAGTTTTTGCTACAGACGACAACTACTTGATCCGTAATGAAAGAAGGCTGTGTAGCCTAACTAAGCAACCTAGTGTTGTTTTACCGGCATAAATTTGGAGGAGTGATGTCAGGCGACTGCAATAAGGCGTTGGCATTGAGGCTCACCTAGTTTTTCTCTTTAAAAAACTAAGTCCCGTTATTTTTTAGTCACTTGTTGTACATGTTATATTTTCACATTCTATTGAGCTTTGAAAATATTAAACCTCTACGTCGCATCAAGTTGATACTGTAAAGGCAATTACTGTAACAGGAAAACTTGACCTTGCAGGATCAATAGCAGGTTTTTAATTATCCTCTATATGAACCAGACAGTGCCTTAATGAGAAATGTGTATTATAACTATGCATGGAAAATAGTTATAAGGGTTGCAAATCTTTTGTGGTCACCGATACATTATCATCATCAGGGTGTCCAGCCGACCTGGGAACCTGGAATTGTACTTAAATTTTTATGACCGGGAAAAAATCTGTGCATTTTGTAAAGATAAAGATATGTAAATTTCCCCGGTAATTTAAATGTTTGAATAGTAGACAAAAAATCCACCCAAAATCACGGATTTTTCTCGTTTTGTGTAGTTGAAAAAGTTGCGGGGGAAACGATTAAATTGACTCGATTGCAAGAAATTATCACTGGCTTACAAATTCTTTTTAAAATAGCCATATTTAACTTTACAAATTGTAGGCCTACATGAATCCACGATAACAACAGAAAGAAAATATTTTTACTACAGTAGACTCCCTCTTATTCGGACTCCTTGGGACCGAGGCCAGACCGGATAACAGGTTTTCCGGTTAAGCCGACGTCCCCAAAAATAAGTTGAAACGGACCGTTTAAATGCATACTGTAGGATATACAGTATTAGACTTAAATTTAGGAGAGCATTATATTTAGACAGTGGTCTCAAATCTTTCCCACAGAACAGTAGTTTCAGTACCCACTTCCTGCCGATCTAGTCCGGTTAAACCGATGTGATGATAAAAATTGTGCGGTTAAAGAGATGTAATTTCCGCCCAGTGTAGTACCGTTAAAGCGTTGTCCGGTTAAAAGGTGTCCGGATAAGATGGAGTCTACTGTAGCTTAATCAACCATGGGCCTATAACACATTAAAAAAGCTGTAAAAATTATTTTAAACTAACAGAAAGTTGATATATTAGTTATCGTTGTTTCTCAGCAACGCAATGGCAAAGTTTTTTCCCCCGCCAATAACAGGTTGCCGTATCCTGTTATTCAGCAACGTTGCTGAGAATTTGTTGCCGAATGTCTGTTTTCAAGGGTCTGTTTTCAACGGACGTTGTGTCCCAGTGATCGTTTTTAAATGTGTTGGACGTTAGTAAACATTCACCAACAACTGCAAACTAGCCATTGACAATGTTTTCGTCAGAACTGTTGGATTGTTCAAACGGCTTTGGTCAATCTGCTGAGGCGTTGGTTGCCCCAATAATATCAAAAGCATGATTTTAATAACAGGGAAATCACCTTAACAGGTGAGCCTGACAAAAGTTGTCACATGTAACCCTGTAATCATCCTGTTATGACAAGGTTGGAGATAAGTTCCGGAACGGCTGAGTATTTAAAATAATAATAAAAATAGTGCTACAAAACTTGGTACAAAGTCACCGGGCATAAAAACCATTTCAAAACATTATTCAGTGATACGCTACCTCCTTAGCTAACCCATCGTTTGGTATTGGCAGGTCACGGGAATGGTTGTTATGCCTAGTGGCTGTGTATTAAATTTTATAGCTATTTCTTAATTTTTTTTAAAACTGTTCCGGGAGCTATCACAAACCCTGTATAATGTACATTTTGTAATAGAAAGTGGTAGATGTTTCAGAAAATAAAGAAATATGGTTAATATAAACATAAAACCTCATGTTATATTATTTTATAATTAATATAAGAATATATCAAAATCCCCCAGTCGGATTTAAAATCATTGTCGGGAACGCCAAAAATATGTAAAATACCTTCAGACTAAGCTAATTTCCATTGGTTGATTTTTACTAAAATATTTCCTTGAACTTGTCAGATTTATTTTCTAATTTAAAGAATATTAGATTTTGTGAATAACTAGACTTGCTGTTACAGGGAGGGAAAAAAATGTGTATTTTTTGTAAAATATTGATGGTAATATAAAATTGATAAATTTGCCAAATGTTATCAAAATCCTTGCATAAACAAGCAAACTACAACAGTTTACGTTATCCCAAGAATAACATATATCTTAACAATTAAATGAACGTGTTTTGAAATTGTTGTGATTAAAATTTGGTGCATGCATCAATAATAATGCAAAGGCCTATTTTGAGAATAGATATAGTTTTTTTTAATCATGTACAGTTTCAAAACAGTGACCATTTAAAATTTGAGACTGAAATAACATGAAAATTATACTGGTAAACAAAACTACTTCCGCAATGTGTTATTCAGGCAATTTCTTCACAAAATTTTAACAATACAAAATTTAAGAAAATCTGTTCATAAAAAAGGTGATAACTATTTTTTTTTTAGATACCATGTATCAAACAATGTTAGATAAAATATCAACTGTTTTAATTGGGTCTTACTTAAACAAGCCTTTAATTCATTTACTTACCAATGTAGTTTTTATGTTATTTCAGTTGAACAATATTAAATGGCCACTATTAACATATTTTCTCCCTAAAAAAAGCTTTGTTTATCCATGCACCAAATTCCAATCTACCACAAAAAGCTGTTATCAAACAACAAACATTTTTGTGACAAAATTAAATACAGGTACCTAACAAAAAAATATATATTTATGGCAACCAAATATAAATATATACCAAATATAATCCACGTTTAATAGGAAATATGTTACTTTTTTTGTATTTGTAATGTTTTAATATTATTGGTGCTGTACAACTAACTTTTGGAAATTCGTAATGTGATGTATTTAGTCATTGGTCCAGGAATGATACCTTTAAAGATCGGTAGACAGTTAAAGAACATTCTGTATATAAAAATTGAAATAAAGGCATTCGACTATATAAGATTGTTTGAAATCCTCCTACCATAAACAGCTAAATTATCCAATTTATTTATACTTATTTAGTTGTGTTAGAGCCTAACCAGGATTTATATTGACCGAAGACGAATTATTTGGGGATATTCAGGGGGTACAATAAAGGGGGAGAGTGAAGGGAGTCCCTATGGCCTGCGGGGGTAGGTTAGGGGGTCAGTGACGGCGGTGGCAGCGGCAGCGGTAGTCAGTGGTCCCCCCACCAGTCACCACTGTGTGTGTGTGGCTGTGTGTGTCAGTCGGTGACCGAGAGTGTTGGCGCGAGGGACTCCCTGACTCCCTACAGGTCCACTGGATATCACGTTGGCCCATGGTACCTGTTGTGGAGTGTCGGTAGTGTAGTGTGTAGGTTGCGATGAGGCAGACCATGGAAGAGTCTCCGCAACAGTCGCCTGATCCATACCTCTACCTTCACCTGAAGCAGCGTCTCAAGACCATGCCGGGCCTTGTGGAGACTGCTATGTTCGTCGCTGACCCTGCGGCAGAACCTCACTACGACTATGCGGATACTCCGCCAGTGTCCACCTCTCACGCTCAGGTATGACCACGTGTCTTTGTTGACAACCAACAAATCGCGTGTCAGTATGGTGTGAATATTTCCAATACACGGTTTGTTAAAAATCAACTCGAATAGTAAATATATTTGTTTCTTCGCGTAGTAAACTTTTCAGTTTGCATTCACCAAAAAGTGATTTTACCCACGTTTTAGAATAGGCCTATAGGATATATTGCCAACGTGTGGGAAATACCCTGTTTATGACAACCAAGAAATCATTCGTAAAGTACAGTAATTTGTTAACATTCTGGTTGATATTTTATTCTGAAGAAATTTTTGTATAACTCAATAATGAATTGTTAAGTAAGTTTATCAGATTATTCCCATATTTCGAACTACTTTTGTCGTAAATAGAGTAATTCAGGAAATACGTACTTAAATGGTATTTAGAAATTAGTGACACTATTGAAGTAAACCCCAACAATATTTACTATTGTACAAACTGGTTAAATTATCGTCCACTATTCTCTACGAACTTGGTACAGAAGAACCTCTCTGTCACGCGGATGGTAATTTCAAGCCGAATTGAATAACTACAATGCGAAACTATGAAAGAGCAGCCCCGGCGACCTGTTGGGGTTTCGCCCACTTGTAGAGGGTGGGGGAGGGGGAGAAGGGCCCTCGGTTTAACCCATATACAATGATTTATCTTCGGGGTTGGGGCGAAACCCTACCTCAGCCCCCATCCTGTGTCTCTTCAGTCTCTTCACTAGCGCTCGAGGAGCTCTGCGATCATAAGTGAAACCTACAAATACTTAACTTTGGAGAGAACATGTGGCCATAGTTTCCAATCGCTCCTTTAACGTTCCACGTTCAAGCTCATTATGGTACAAACATTCGAACGCTTAAAACATCAAATGGTACATAATTGAGCTGTTTTTATACCTCTACCAGCACATTACAAATGATGAGCGAAAAAAAAACTAGTATTGAGGTAATTTGATAATAAAACAAATGGCAGTTTGATTTTGGTATATTTCTCAACATTAACATTGTTTCGTATTTTTCTTTTAAATTGACATGACGGATTTCAGCTGATTTTTTTCTCAGTAATCTTTAAGCGTACAACAACGCTTCATTGTACTAAATTATTTGTTCCTATAGCTCTAAAAAATGGTTACGGGAATAAATAAATTACAAAACGTCATGTTTTAGGGGGTAAAAACCATTTCACTTCATAAAACTGTTAATACTGTTCTATGAAATGGCGACCATACAAAGTAGAAAAAACCCCTACACAATCCCGCGTTTCCATAGTCCGATCACGCTGGTTTGTGAACTCGTTCAAATAAATATAGGTTTACAAGTTTGTACCAAATTTAATCAAAATACGATAACTTTTACGTGATTTATCGAGAGTATTTTTTGAACGGACTTTTTTACACATATTTTTTATGGGCACATAAAAACGAAAAAAATCTGCATCAGAACTTTCCAAGCTATTCGTATATAGAATAAATAATCTGTTGTAGTTTGCTTGTTTGTGGATATATTTTGGTCGGATTAAAAAAAAATTGTCATACTAAGCTAGGATTTTAATAAAAACACGCCTTATAACCTTCTCTGTAGCAGCAAACCTAAGTACTCAATAAAATTAATGTTATTTAAATAGGAAATAAACCTTAAAATGTAAGGCAATATTTTAAAAAATATTTTACTGGAATTCTAATTCACGTTCATGGAAAAATATACCTGCTAATGCCAACCAATGGAAAACATTCTTAATTCGTTTTCAAATAATTAAACTTTCCTCGAGGTTTGTGATTGAGATACGAGTTTTTAAATTACCTGTATGTTTGAAATTTTCAACAGTTAAAATTATGTTTTGCAATCATTGTAAAACAAGGGCAAAGGAGATGAATAGTATATTTATAGACAAATGAAAAGGAATATTTTATAACTTATCTACTTTTTTGGTCACTGTAGTTTTATTTTTTTTATTAGATTTTCTCAAAGATATAAACTTGTTTGTAACTTACACCAATCAATAATTTTTTCTTATAATTGTTGTTTGTTGTTGATGTTTTTTTATTTTTTTATAATTTTTTTTGTTTGATAAAAACTAGAGATTGTCGAATAAGTACAGCATTTTGCAGCAACAGTTAAACATGGCCTACCGAGAGATGTTTTATACAATAGTTTTATTGCTTTTATGTTTTGCGACACAATCTTGCCCATTCGTTATTTAACTGATATCGCTATTACGTGTAATTATATGGACAGGTGTTTTCTGCCGCATTTGCGTTATTGTGATTTGTAAAACAATTTCTTTCTCTGTGACGCTATCTTTGTATCCATTCTCCTAACTGTAAGCTTAAGTACGTCCTGGTTGTATACCTTTCTTTTTATTGAGAGTTGATTTTTACATTATTGAGCCAAAATCTTTTGTAATACTACGGAGAGCCACGGATTATCTGAGCTTATGGAAAACGGTGATGGACAAGGCTACTTAAGTGTGTATTTTCATGTAACACCTGAACCTTTAAACATTATTTTCAATTTTTATTTTTTCCATACATAAAATGTCAGCTTTTGTTTGATACTACATGCGTACGCACAAACATTAATACCAATACACATTAATACAGGAAAGGTTTTAAATTGATCGTTTTATAGTTAAATGTTAATAGTATTATATGAAAAAAATAAATTTTCTAAGTTTTATCAAATTATGTTTATAAACTCAAACAGTGGTGTTAGTAAACTACTACAGTTTAGTAATACTCCATAAGAATAACATGGAAATTTAAATTTTAAATTTACTTTTGCAATTTTCTCCTTAACGATTAGGTGCATGACAACGCTTCAATATACTAAATTATTAGTTTTTTTAACCCTACAAAATGGATTGGAAAGAAATTGCAAAATTTTATGTTTTTAGGGGGGGGGGAATGGGAAGATCCCATGTTTACCCCATAAACCCCCGATCCCATTGCCCGATCATGCTAGATGGCGAACTCCTTCGAATAAATGTAGGTTTATACCAAATTTCATAAAAATCGGATAATTTTTACTCGAGTTATCGTGCAAAAGGAAATATATAAATGTACAGTATATGAATTTTAATGAAATGCGTTTTTGACCTCTGGGGACCTCAAAACGAAAAGGTCAATCAGTCGCGGGTCCACGTCTTACCACGAGACCTACGGTAATAGTTTATTCCGTATATGGGAAATTCGCTAAAAGCATATTATGTTTGTATGTTTTCAAGTCTATGCTCAGGATCTTCCATCTAGCTGTATCAAACACATTAAAGCTTTACAGTAAGGATAATTTTTGGACGTAAAGCATACAAATCATCTGACTAACGTTAAAAGTACGTGGGTACATGTATTCAACATATAAACATCTAACTCCTAAATAATCTATCTTCAACATATACGTGTATCATCTAATAATAAATATCGTTTGGAATTTAAGTTTTTTTTTTGCTGTACGACCGAAGTGTATACCGGTACAAAGAAATTCGTATACGTCGCGTTACATCGTGTGTGTATTGGGCGACCCTAAACCTCCATAATTATTATTCGTCGCTCATAGTTGGCCCGTTTCAAATATTTGTCTGGTTATAAAAATGTAACTTAAACAATCTTTCGCGCAAGTTTTTCGATATAGCCTACACTTATTCAGTAGTTAAATACCGTAATGATGGACTCGGTGGATTATATACATATAGGTACGGATTAATTGAACTTTATTTTGTAATTATAGTAATTAAACATAGCCTATTTATGTTTTTATTGTAATGGATAATTTTAATCAATCTCATAATTGAGATTACTTAAACACTATTTATTGGTCTCTCGAGTGTTCATTGGTTTACTTATCAAACCTGATTGATTATTGTTTACCGTCGACATTTGGTAGATATCTTTTTGCTATTTTCGTTTCTGTATTACAAAAAAACGCATATTGTGAAAATTAAATTTTATTCTAGAACTTTTACGTCAAACATAAGTTGTCGCAGAACCGTATTTTTCGTTCCCATGTAGATGACTAAACTCAAGGTCATTTGTTCGGTTAATAGAGAGAGAGACTCGTTAACATGTGACGCAGAATATAGAAAATTTGACTAATTTCAGCTTGGCATTAAGTGGGTATTCTGTTTATCAGTTTGAATATTATGTATGAAAGTTTATTATATGAAATAATAATTGTTGTTATAAAAAAAACACACGTCCCATATTTTTAATACAAGAATGAACAAGCGTACCTACTCCATGTTAAATTATTTAAAATCGGCAATCATTCATAATATGATGTTTACGCGATGCTTATTAGAATCACCCTAACGGTTGCCATTAAGAAAGCTAATGTTTGCAAGACGGATCATATAGCTCCAACTTCCTACAGTAGCGTTGGTTATTTCAGTTTTTGCCCCGCAAAGTGAGGAAATGAACTCTCGAGTCTCGGATTTCGCAGGGGATGTGGAAGGTTTTGTAAGGGGGGTTGGAGGGGTTTAGCTACCTGCGGTACAAAGGGCGCTATTTACTCGGTGGCAGGGGATGAGGGGATGGGCCGCCGACGGACAGCCGGTTGCTGGCTGTTCCTGTGGTAATTGGTCAAGTGTTTATAACCAGTAACTATACGTCCTTGGTAATGTCACCTGAAAACGGGGTAAGATTAAAATACCGAAACGTCGTGAAAGTTTTGATAAAAAAAATTTCGTCGTGGAATACGCCTATGTCCGTGACGATTTCTAAAATACGTTATTTCGCACTCTTTTTCTATAAGTATACTCTAAAACGAACAGATTCTATGGGAGACTTGCATTAATTAGCTTATTTCATAATACGTGTACAACGTAAATGAAAATGATTTACTAACGGAATACATGAAAGATAATGTTTGCGGCAGTTTGAGACTGTCATTTTACATTATGCAAGATTGTAACCATTGAAGACAGGAGGACCAAGTAGACAACCAGTCTAAGACCGCCAGCATGTCTAGAACCGAGGTAATATTACCTTGGCCGAGGTAAG